TGAATTTTAATTTTGTGCTTGTAAATTCTGTAAATTTAATTAAGTTATTGTTAATTGTTTATTGGTTTAATGTAAGTGGCTATTGTTCGGGACGAACAATACTAAGGAAGGGGTAGTGTTACGACAGCGGAGGTCACGTGACGCTAGTAACGCGTCATATTCTCGAAGCTTCCTGAATGCTCTAGCGTTTACTAGATATGCGGTAGTCTTGTATATATAAGACGTGTCGGCAACAATGTGTAATTGAACTGCGGACAGAGTATTGTTGAGTCGAGCACGTGAGACGTTCGTTGTGAATTATAGCATTTGTTATAGCGCGACTGTTGAAATTAAGTGTATTGCAAAGTTGTATTCAGAAAGAATAAACCAGTTTTATTTAAGAAAGGACTTGTATCGCTAAAGTTTCTTCCGAAATAATTTTTACGGAAAATTAACTAACAAACGGAGGCGTAACAATATATTTTAATTTTCAACTATTGATGAAACTAATCAATATACATAAGTGCTAAATTGTCACATTCATATGTATTTTTATTCTAATTGATCTTTAACTTATAATAATGGATGATTAGAACAACATCGCAATAAAACTTCATAAATTGATTTATCTAAAGCAGCGTTTCTCGAACTTTTTTGGCCACGGAACACTTTTCAGCTGAGAAAATCTTACGGAACACTAGACACATGAAATATCAGTGTAGAGGGTATGTTGCGCGCGCAGCGCTCTCTAGATTTGTATATTATTCATTTATTTATTTAATCAAATTGCATATTACTGAATTTTTACATTTTTATGCTTATAATATATTTTAGGTACAAACCTCTCCACTAAGATATTATGTAGAATAAATATGACATCTTCTATAATTCTTCTTCAATGCGAACTCGATAGTATCTAATTCTAATACATAGGAAAGTATTTCATAATAAGTTATGATCGTACGGAAAGTGTTAAATACTTTATTAAAATTTAAAATCGTGATTTTATCACGGAGCACCTATCAATCTCGGACGGAACACCAATGTTCTGCGGAACATAGTTTGGGAAACGCTGATCTAAAGAATTGTTTTGTCAACTTTTTTCTTTTGGAGTGCGTCAGTTTTTATCCGACAGATGGCAATGTATGTAAACAGCGCGAATTACAGTGTTTAGAAACTAGCGCAAGAAAATAAATATAACTGCATTTATTAAATGGGACTTGATTTATTTTCAATTTTTGATAGACTTATACATCAAAAACAAGAGTGTGCTGTGTTGCCAGTGAAAGCAATATCTTAGCTTTTGTTTTTTATAAAGCTGTAGAATATATCTACTAGTACTAATTAAATTTAAAATAATATTAGAAATAGAATCTAATTAATGCTGGATTTCGAAAGTTTCGTACAATGGATACGCATATTTTGATACTGTGTAAAGGTAAGAAACTAAGTAAAAATTAATCAGCTTATTGTTTAATTATACAAGTTGAAATAAATAGATTCAAAGTCGTAAGAGGCAAAAAGATAATTCCTATACTATAGTATAAGAAAATCAAGTTTAAGAAACTTGAAATGTATAGTTCAACAGTAAGTTAACTAAGCCTTAACCGTAAACGTGTTCGACATGCCAAGGGTGTATTTGTACTGTTGTAGTATTACTATTACAAGCAGGCAACAAAGCATGCTACCTCAACTCAAGTAGTACTTGTCAGTTATAACTTGTAAATTGTACTTAATTATAGTATGTTATAACTCTTTGTTTTTTGACAGCCAACATGACTTTGTAAAGGGAAGATACAATTTATAATTTTAAATTTAATTAATTTTTATATGTTAACACCCGATACAGTGATAGTACTGTTGGTGTTGATGTTACTAGTAGTAGCACTAGTATAATAATAACTTATTGTTGTTGTAGAAATGAAACTTTGTAGTGAAATATAATAAAAATAAGTAATTTGATAATGAGAAACCCGAAAAATTAAATGTAAAACACATAAATTTTTAATGTTTAATAATACTAATAGTACTAAAGCATGAAACAATTTCGATCATTTAACTTTTAAACTTTAAAAGTTAAGTGAGTGAAATTGTTTTATATTTTGGTAATATTGTTAAACATTAAAAGTCTACAAGTTTTCCATTTAATTTTTTCAGGTTTGTCATTATAAAATTTTATGTTCAAGATGACCCATGGGTTCTTTTAGTTAGTTTATTTTGAATTTCGTGCGAAGCTACATAAAGGCCATTTTTCCTAGCCATCCCTAATTTTGAAGTGATAAACTAGAAATAGAAGGAAGGCAGTTAGATAACACCTCCCACCATCAACTCTTAGGCTACTCTTTAGAAAGGAGTAGTGAGATTGACTGTGAGCATGGTTGAGGACAGGTTTTGGATCCTTGACCCTCAAATTGTGAGTTGAGTAATCTAACCATTGCACTAATTATTTTAGAAATGACCATAATGTAATACTGGAATAGCAGCAGTCCCCATTGTTTACTATGATAAAGTTCATACTATGGATTACAAAATAGTTCATAATTGAAAAAAGAAACCCATCAAAATTTTTGAAAATTATAGTATAGTAAATATAGAATCAATTTGCAAATTTTTATTGGACATCTGATGTTTTATTAGATTCGTTCATGTATTTCAATGAAGAAATAGTAGTTTTTTTTGTAAATATTTTTATAGCACATAACATGTTTCATACTTTTTTCAGCAGTGTTGTTGAGCATTTGAATCTTAAGTGCACTACTTTTAAAAAGGAGTAACCTACTTTGAAAACAGTATCACTTTCAATGACATTTAGACATTTTTTGATAAAATGATGGTCTAATGTTAACTAGGTATATACCACAGAATACCAAAAACCACCATTTTGCTTAAGTAATAAAATCAGTATGTACCAACAGGTGGTGCATTCTTATTAAACATTCTTCCTAGTCATCTTCACTGACAGTTAAAACGTGCTAATCTTTGACCAATGAATTAACATCACGTGGTAGTAAATCAACTAATAGCAAATTAAACCAATAATTGTTTACATGAGTAATACCATTATGAGATGATATTAGACTTAACACTGTTAAGATGTTTCAAAAAAGTAGATCAAACACTTTCAAGAACTTTGAGAAATAATCAAAGAAATACATGAATTTGTTACTAAAATAATATTTGTCCACAATACAGTTGGAAGCAACAGAAAATATGTTGATTCACAAAACAGCCTCTTGACAGTTATTACATTTAAATATTTCTTGATGTTATTTGTACTAAGTAATGGTAAGCATATAATGACTATTAGGTCTATTGTTTATTTTTGAATTATAACTTGCTTTCAATATTATTTTAAATTCAGCATTTATGTTTTAACAACAATTTAAGTATTTACTTTGAATAATTTACAAAATACAGATTCTTGATTATTAAAATATTTCATTACTCATTTTGTATTTGTCACTGATAAAGGATCTCTGTCTGTAACCCAGCTTTAGGTTGCCTTCAGATGTATTTTAAAAGCATTTCTAACTAAAAAAGTTCTCATTAAAATCTGATGATTTATTTCAAACGCTTAATGAATTACAGCTTTTTGACCTTGTTCATTTTTTCTTGATGATCCTTGACAGTATTTAATAGGACACCTTTCTGAAGTTATTACTTCCTCAATGTTCCTCAACTGGAGATGAGATTGACCTTTTCAAATCTTAAACTTGTGACCTCTTGACCTACCATCTTTAGAATTCAACAAACACAAAAATTTGATGTATTTTCTTAATAATTTTGAATTTTTCAAACTACTCTTGGACCTTCTCTTTGTAAGAGAAAACTAATTAAGAAATCCCAATCTATTATCTTAGTTCAACCCATACATCTCACAAATAATATTCTTGTATTCTTTCTCTAAATTATCTCCACTATTTCAATGTACTTCCTAAAATTGGGAGACCAAAACTGTGTAGTACTCCAAATGATGCCTGAATAGTGATATGTGTAATGATGCTGTTGCCCTTTGAGACTTGTAGTCAATATATTCAACCTAAAATTATTGCTTTACCATTTGTAGTAGAATACTGTCGTAAAGGCTTAAGAATTCAACCAATATCCCAAGATCATTTTCCTCATTCACATAATTAAAAGTATTCCCATCTGAATTTTATCACTAATTTATAGTGATAATCCTCATGCATAATATTACACTGATCATAATTAAATGCTGTCTTCCATGTATTTACCCAACAATCAACCAATTTGAGTTTTTTGTAAAATCAAATCATCTCCTTTAAAGCTAGCCTGACCTAAGAGTTTCCTATCTTTGGCATACTTAACCATTTTCCCAAATACGTCTAAATGTCAGTAACATAATTTAGGAAAGCAATGATCCCATTACAGATCACACTTTTTGTAACATTAGTTAGTCTGAACTCTGTTAATAACTTTTTTGCCTTTTTCCATCCAGCCAACCTTCAATCCATTTAAATAACCTATCCAGTTCGCTGACTGACGTAATTTAATTTTTCTGCCCTACCTTACAAAAGCTTTCTGAAAATCATATTAAACTAAATCTTTCTTTCATCCTCACTTAGATAAAAAATTAAATCATCAAGAAAAGTTAACAGGATAATAATGCATACTTTTTTTCCTTTTAAACCATTCTTGTCATGTTTTCCTTTAGTTAATAAGAAGTCTTTTGTTATGAATATGATATATGCACATAGTCCCATAATCATTGTATGGCTTCGTATTGAGTAAAAACAAGTGAGGGTAGCATAATAGGTCAGGAATTTAGGTTTCAAAATAGGGTTGAAACTTGTAAAATTTACAATCAACTTCAACCTGACTCTTCCCTAAGATTATGATGCTTACTGTGGTATTAGTCTTGCTTATGGACTTCAGTAAAACATCACAGACCATTTTCGATGACGAGGAACCCACTTTGAGACTAATAATGCTTGGAGACAGCTTGAATGGGTAATGAAGAAAAACTTTAATATAAGTTTAACATAACAGCAAATGTACAATGTTTCGACAGGGTTTTGTACCTGAAGGTGACATTTTTTAATCATTACTTTTAATTGATATTTTAATTTATGAACTAAAGCTAAACTTAACAAAATTGTATTGCAAAGGAAAACTCTTACCTTTGTAATTTGTTAAGTTTTATGGATGAATTTCTTACCTGATTGGTGATAAAAGAGTGGATTTAGTTTGTGGGACTAATGGTCATGGTGCCAAACTTGTTGACAGAAGTGATCTCTGGTGTTTCATAACTGAATAAAATAAATTGTCCTGATTTTCACAATAAATTGAAACTTGAGGGGGTAGCATGCAAAATGACAAGTATAGTAATTTCTGAGTATTTGGATGAAAAAGATAATCAGTTTAAAGGAGAAAAAACAAAAGTTATTGATATAAGTACAAATAGATAGATATAAGTAGTCTAATGGACATGAGAAAAATCATTCAAAATGTGATAAAAACACCAAATTTGGTACAGATGTAGTATACAGCATATTACTTGATGTGAGGGTGACTTGAAAAATTTCCATGTTAAGGGATAAAATCCTTGCATTTTATGTGAGAGGCACAGCTATCATGATGTAAAATAGCAAATAGAAGATACAGTCTTCTTTCCATAGGATTTTAAATTTGAGGCTGCAAGTTGAATGGCTAATGGTTTGAAATAATTTCTTTGTCCTTGATGTTGGAGGAAAACTATATTTCCAGTAAATTATATTTTTATTGAGGAAACAAACATCTTAAAAAACAGGCTTGTTTAATTAAAAGTAATTCTGATAAGGTACTCTCCCTCCACTCACAAGATTAGCTTTTCTCGTTTTGTGCTGCCCTCTGTATGCAAACTTTTTCAGAAATGCATGCCACAAGCCTTCATCATCCAAAGTTCCAACATTTCTCTCATGCAAACCTCTCCACCAATAGGAAAGCACTACCATCACTTGATGCATAACTCCCTCTATGCTCCACTACTCAACTATCACTTCTTGTTAGGCAGCTATTGAGTTCAGACATTCTTACTTACATTGTTCAGTTATCTTGAAGTGTTTTTTTATTTTGTATTTTTTATATTTTTCTTAAATTTATTTACCACTCTTCACAGTTAAGGAGTTAATATTTTTATTAGAGCATTACTTCCTCATGTTTGCCGCTTTTTCCTGCTTATGAATTTCGAAGTTGCAGTCACCATTTCGGGTATTTCGCCAGCATCTGATGCTGTATTTTTGGCAACAGATTCAGCTGGGAGATTGAGAGGTACATAAGCCAACCTCTATCAGCTGCTTCTGCCCCACTTCCTCCTGGGCCTTTTGAGCCGAGCCAGGCTGACAATGATTTTGGTAGTTTGTCCCCCCTGGAGTTTGCCGTGCCTTCCTGTTCACTACTTGATGATCGGTCTTTTCAGACTTTATCTCTCAGGTATGT